AGTGAGCAGAGCTTCTGTATTTCTAGCAAGCAAGCACCAAGTGATGCTGATGCCGCTGGCTCGGGGACCACACTCTGAGTAGCAAAAGGGTGTGGTAAATGTGAGAAATCAGTTTCATTCACTCAGTTAAGAGGCACCTACTCTGGGTCAGTGCATGGACTAGGCCCTACCACTTTACAATGCAAAGCGTTTTTTGGTGTTTGTTTGCTTTACTAGAGAGTTTTGATTTTTAATTTATTCTTTTAAATATGTAATTTTCACATGGTAAAGCATTTTTGTTCATAAAATCCAAAGGGGTACACAGCGAAAGTATCTAACTCTCCAGAAGTGATCACTGTTACTTCTCAAGTTTTATTCCAGATAATGGCAGATAATATGCAGATAATAGCATATATTTGTACCATATCTTTATTTTAACCACGTGGCAGCATAATGATCTGCCACTTTCTTTTTTCATTTTACTCTATCTTGGAGATTGTTTCATAGCTCAGTGTGTATCTCTAGGTCCTGTTGAACAGGTGGTATAGTGTCCATACAAGATGCATTTGTTGGCCAGGCATGGTGGTTCACACCTGTAATCCCTGCACTTTGGGAGGCCAATGCAGGTGGATCACCTGAGGTCAGGAGTTCAAGACCAGCCTGGCCCACGTGGCAAAACCCCATCTCTACTAAAAATACAAAAATTAGCCAGACATGGTGGCAGGCACCCGTGTAGAAGATGTAATCCCATCTTCTCAGGAGGCTGAGGCAGGAGAATCATTTGAACCTGGGAAGCAGAGGTTGCAGTGAGCCGAGACTGCACCACTGCACTCCAACCTGAGCAACAGAGTGAGACTCCATCTCAAAAAAAAGGAAAAAAAATGTATTTGTTGTTATTGTTTTTCTAAAGTATAAAATAAAGAGTGACTACCCCCTGGCTTCTTCCTCATCCTGCACAGGTCATCCTCGGGGAGCACAGGTGCTGTGTCTGCCATTCTTTGAATCCTCTGAATGGCCTGACCCATGTTTGTGCATTTTGTCAATTTCACATGATCTAGCATACATCTGTCACTCACATGCACAGCTTGTCTACACTTCACTTTGTCTTTTTCTTTTTGCTTCAGATTGCAGTTTCTCTCCAATTGTTTCTTTTTTTTTCTTTTTTTTTTTTTTTTTTTTTTTTTTGAGATGGAGTCTCGCTCTGTCGCCCAGGCTGGAGTGCAGTGGCCAGATCTCAGCTCACTGCAAGCTCCGCCTCCCGGGTTTACGCCATTCTCCTGCCTCAGCCTCCCGAGTAGCTGGGACTACAGGCGCCCGCCACCACGCCCGGCTAGTTTTTTGTATTTTTTAGTAGAGACTGGGTTTCACCGAATTAGTCAGGATGGTCTCGATCTCCTGACCTCGTGATCCGCCCGTCTCGGCCTCCCGAAGTGCTGGGATTACAGGCTTGAGCCACCACACCCGGCTCCAATTGTTTCTTGACTCTGCATTCTGTCAGCACTTGCAAATTGGTCTAGTGTTCTCTGGCTTTAATCATATGTTATCGTTATTGTGGAATACAACACACATAAGTGTGTATAAAGTGTACGTATTTAAAGAAGAAATGAAACATGATGTAGAGGTGACTTCTTTCACCCCCCTTATCTCCTGTGTGCCACTCTCCTATCACATAGGATCTCTCCGTCTAAGGGGCAACTACTATCCTGATTCTGGGTTAATCTTAAGTCCTGTGACTTTCCTTTTTGAAGTGGTTCTCAGGCTTTAGTGAATCAGACTTGCTTAGAGAGCTTGTTAAAACACAGATTGCTGGGCCCCAACCCTGGTTTCGCATTTACTAGATCTGGAGTGGGGCCCAAGAATTTGCATTTCTTTTCAGTTCCCAGGGGATCCTAGTGCTGCCAGCCTGGGGACCACACTTTGAGAACTACTGTCTTATCTCAGAGATACTCTTAACTTGTGTATCATGACTCCTAGTTCCCTGGGGATGCTTTACTCCTCCCCTAAAACCTAGTCACTCGATGGGTGTCCCTTAAGCACCTCCCCTCTTCTTCCTGTACTCCCTTTCCTATCACTTGGTTTGTGAGTGCACAATCTTCACTAAGTATTTCTTTTTTTTTTTTTTTTTTTTTTTTTTGACAGCGTCTCACTCTGTCGCCTAGGCTGGAGTGCAGTGGCCAGATCTCAGCTCACTGCAAGTTCCGCCTCCTGGGTTCACGCCATTCTCCTGCCTCAGCCTCCCGAGTAGCTGGGACTACAGGTTCCCGCCACCTCACCCGGCTAGTTTTTTTGTATTTTTTAGTAGAGATGGGGTTTCACCATGTTAACCAGGATGGTCTCGATTTCCTGACCTTGTGATCCGCCCGTCTCGGCCTCCCAAAGTGCTGGGATTACAGGCTTGAGCCACCACGCCCGGCCAATCTTCACTAAGTATTTCATTTGATTGTGGCATTTCACCAGTGTCCATAGTTTTCCTCTCTGTTGGTCATCCCATTTATAGCTTTCCTCTCCTTTGTGTGTATTGGAAGGAAGAGCATAAGCAACTTTTTTTTTTTTTTTTTTTTTTGACAGAGTCTTGCTCTGTCATCCAGGCTGGAGTATAGTGGCACAATTTTGGCTCACGGCAACCTCCGTCTCCCGGGTTCAAGCAATTCTTGTGCCTCAGCCTCCTGAGTAGCTGGGATTACAGACATACACCACCACACCCGGCTCATTTTTGTATTTTTAGTAGAGATGGGGTTTCATCATGTTGGCCAGGCTGGTCTCGAACTCCTGACCTCATGTGATCCGCCCACCTAATTTTGTGTTTTTAGTAGAGACGGGGTTTTGCCATATTGCCCAGGCTGGTCTCGAACTCCTGACCTCAAGTGATACACCCAGCTCAGCCTCCCAAAGTGCTGGGATTACAAGTGTGAGCCACCGTGCCCGGCCAGGAACATTTACATGTCTTATTCACCTGGTCTGTAAGCGCCTTGAAAGTAGGAACCAAGTTTAATTTCCCTTGTAGTGCACTTCCTCAATTAAACTGCAGTTCATGGTTTACAAACTCAGTTGCTTATAAAGGCCAAAGGCAATGTAAACAAGTGAAGCTTGCCAAGTAGAAACTTCCCTGGAAGCCATGTCCTATGTAAAGAGGGAAGCTGCTACTTGGCTTTAAGTCAGTCACAGATCCACTGTTCTCTAATTTTCCCAATTTTCAAGAGAAACCAGAAATAATTCCAACTAGTTTAGTATTTTAAGTACACAAATTGGGTCATAGAAAAATACATCTACAGGAAACAAAACTAAATCCATTTCATGTTTCAAGATCTTTGCAGTGGATGGGTGGATGGATGGATGGATGGATGGATGGATGGATGGATGGATGGATGGGTGGGTGGGTGGGTGGAGGGGTGGGTGGATGGGTGAATGAATGGGTGGATGAGTGGATGGGTGGAGGGATGGATGGGTAGATGGGGGAGTGGGGGAGTGGATGGATGGATGGATGGATGGATGGATGGATGGATGGATGGATGGGTGGATGGGTGGATGGGTGGATGGGCGGGTGGGTGGGTGGAGGGGTGGGTGGATGGGTGAATGAATGGGTGGATGAGTGGATGGGTGGAGGGATGGATGGGTAGATGGGGGAGTGGGGGAGTGGATGGATGGATGGATGGATGGATGGATGGATGGATGGATGGGTGGGTGGATGGGTGGATGGATGGATGAATGGGTGGATGGATGGATGAGTGAGTGAATGAGTGAATCTGGATCATTGTGGCAGCTCTCTGGTTGAAACTGGGGGAGTAGCAATACATTATCTACTATATGCTTGGCCGTGTGCAAGGGGCTTTACATACTTATCTCATTTGACCTTCATAACAACACCACATGGTGGTTATCATTCTTATTTATTCCCATACTCATTTCACGGATAAAGCAGCAGAGGCTTAGAAAGAAACTCAGGGTCACACTGCTAGTTTTCTTTATTTAGAGCCTACCTAATTCCAAAAAAGGATTTCAGATGGGCTCATGTGATTTAAGCTGGGTCCTGAACCTTGGATTTCAGATAGCTCTGTTATACCAAATCGCCACTACAAAGGGAATCAGGTTTTCAGAAGGTAGGTAGGGGGAGAATGCCAACAGTTCAGGGAGTAGGTTTGATCTGTGAAAGGAAAATGAAAATTTGGGACCCCAATTCACTCTATCGAAAGGCAAAAAGATCAGCTGAAAGCTGAGACATGCCAGAAGCTGCCTTTCCTTTTGTTCCTAAACAGATAGCTACAGGTGAAAGGTTAACTATCTCAACAGATAGCGACTCTATGTTCACCATATCTTATGTAAAGTGCTGGATTTACTGAGCATGAGACAAATATATAATGGACTATTCCCCTACCTGCTCCTTTTCTCTTATAACATGTGGATTCAGTAATGTGACCATATCCTCCCTCTTTCCCCGCTTTTCCCCTTTAAATACTGAAGCTCTCAAAATCATCTTTGGAGAAAGGCACAGACCACAGACCGTTCCTCTGATTCTGTATTTTTTCTCCTGGGCATTGTCCTTAACCTTGACAAAATAAACTTCTAAATTGATTGAGACCTGTCTCAGATACTTTTTGGGTTACAAATTGGCAACCAACGAATGGCTTCTGAATGGAGGTGACCCTGACCTCTGACAAATCTATCGGTGCTTGGCACTAGTTTGAGCTGTCTTTATTGCTCAAACCAACAGGACAGTTTTCTGGGTCCACGAGCTCCCCCTCAAGAGAATGAGACCTGTCTCAGTTACTTTTTGGTTTAGAAATTTCTTGAGCATCTTACTAAGCAAGCCATAGCTTCATGCTCCTCAAGGATCCCAGTCAACACTAACGAGCTAAAACACAAGGAGGTCTCTTGCCATCTTGGTGTGTCCTTTCTATTTCCTCCTGTCTCCCTACTTACTCTCCTCTTGGAAGTCAAGATTTCTACCTACCAGCCTTGGGGCCCATTCCATCTTAACTCCTTTGTAAAGCCCAGTAGGAGGACAGAGACACAGATACAGGAGCTGTTGGATGGAAAACATTTTATTGGAGTTCCTGAGCCAGGAAAGGGTTATGGTAGGTTGAGAATCAGCGCTCACACTCGCCCCCTCTCCCAGTGGAGGTCATGGTCACTGGGCATCAGGAGTTGCGCTCCTCAGTCCTTTCAGCTGGAGGGAGAGGGGTCAGGGTTAGATGGGGAAACCCCTGGGTGCCCAGTATAGGATGGCACGGATGGAAAGGAATTTCTGCCTCGATGTGAGTTCCCGTTCTCGTCTATATGTAGTAGTTAAGATCTCCCTTCAGTTTGGTGAGAAGGTTGATCCTCCTTTCCCTGTCCCCACTCTCTCTCCCATATCCTCTGCTTCTTCCCTTACCCCCAATATCCTCCTAATGCCCACACCTCTTACCTTAGGAAAGGCATCCCAGTTGAGGAAAGGAAGTTTCCTTTTGATAGACTAAAAGAAAGAAAGAGAAAGAGAGTGCTGTGTTGCGGGTCAGCCGGGCATGGATCAGTAAGCATTCCCTTAATGAACTCCCACAGTAACCATAGTAACAATAATGTTATTATTTTGTCATTACTTTATCAAGAGCTAATATTTCCTGAGGACTCATTCTGTGTCTGCCTTGCACAAGCATGATTTCAGTGGGTTTTTACAGCAACCTTTTGTGGTGGATTGTCATCCCCACATCACAGAGGAAGCTGAGGCCGAGGGAGCTGAAGGCATTCGCATGAGGCCACGTGTGAAGTGAGTGCAGTCAGGAGACGCGGACCCCAGCTCTGTCACTGACTTTGCCTTCTAAGTGTGGGTGGGCCCCAGTTTTTCCATAGAGGATGAGGGGATTCAAATAAAATCTTGACCGATTAGGCTCTTCCTCTTCTGCAATTGTCTTTGGGGCTCTGCTCCTCCACCACCATCTTAGGAAAACATGGGTAGCCAGCCAGGACAGACGCCGGGGGAAGCTTTCTTCGGTTGACAGCCCATTGGGCAGCATCCAGGCAGGGCAGTCACTCCCTCCCAGAGCTCAGGAACCAACCCGTACATTTAAAGCCAAAATGTGCTGCCACTACCCTGGGATGACTGCAGACAACCAAGGAGGGCAAGGGGCGCCCGAGCACTCACCTCAAAGAGGGCATGCCAGTTCAGGAACTCATCAGCCTTAAAAGCCTGTGGAGGAAGAGGGACAGCAGAAGCAGGTCAGCTCCAGGGGAGGCCACAGCTTAGCCCCCAGCCCTCTGGAGAAGGTGAAGGAACCGTGGCAGCTTTGCAAGCTCTCCACCAAGGCGTTTATCCCCTCTGTAATGAAGGTATTCACGGGGGCAGCACCAGAGAAGCGTACTCACAGATCGCAACTTGTCGATGTTCAGGAACGGGGTGTTAAAGGCCTAGGCGGAAAAGCAGGGTGTTAGGAAAGTTGCTAAGAAGCACAAAGAGAGAAAGGACAGACTCACGGCTGGAGGGCCGGGGAAAACAGACGGCTTACCTCGGGTCGTGACGCATAATTCTCAATGGTGCTTTCTTCCTAGAAAGGGAGAGGGAGAAAAGGAGGCAGGTGGTCACGTGACGCCAGGGCCCTCACCCACATCCCTGTCTGCCAGCTCTGCCTTCATCCACAGGCCAGTCCCCGAAAGAACGCAGCCTGTTCTCCACCATGGTCTCCATTCCAGTTGCGCACGTGGTTGGTGGATGTGCAGGGTGAGGAGGGGGAATTGGAGAATGGTACATGTAAGCGGTGTCGTGATGGGCAGCAGGCAGAAAGCCTGGAGCGGAGCATTCGCTCGGGAAAAACTAGCTAGTGCTGTCCTGCAGTTAACTTAATTCTAAGAGGTGGGGTGTTCTGGAGACACCCATGCTCAGTCCATATAGCTGGGTGGGAAAGATTCGCGTGCAGGTGGGAGCCCAGCTGCTGAGGTGAACCGCCTGCCTCTCACTGATTGAGGTTGCTTTGCTTTGTGGCTTTATTGCCACCACTGTTGGAGGCTCAGTTACCCCCCTCCATGGGGACCCACCCCAGGCCTCAGTGTGCCCCATCGTGTCCTCCCCAGGACACAGCCAAACACGGAACCCGCAGGCTGGATCCAGATGCTCAGATCTCATAAAAATTTGGCTCATTTGTTTTTTGGTTTGAATTGGACATTTTGAATTAGTAAGAATTCATAAATTCATCCCGATTTCTAGTTTCCCCTAAAATTGTTAAAATTCTAGGCACGTCTTCCCACTCCATGGTGTCAGGTAGTGTGAAAGCTGCCCTTTCAGACTGGGGAAGTCAGCCCCCCTTCCCCTGAGGCCCCGACAGTCCCCCAGCTCAGGGACATCACTGGCTCGGTCGTCAGCCGCTGAGCCTGTGCCCCTGTCTTAGACTTTTAAATCCAGAGCAGGCATCAGGATTCCTCTCTGGCTGAGGACTGGATGGTAAAGATTCTCACCGTGGTCTGCGCTCCAGAGACAGTGAGGAGCCACCTGTCACCAGGACACCGCTCACAGGGGCACAAATAGAGCAAAGAGGGGCTAGGCAGGGGTATCCCAGAACACCCCAGCCCCACTCCTCCTAGAGTTAAGTCAGCTGCAGGCAGCATTAGCTAGTTTTTCGCTTTGCCCCACCCTCTCCACCTGCTGTCCATGTGGACGCAGGCCTGGGTTTGGAGCTGCTCTGTCTCACATTGCCGTTCTCCAGTTCCCCCTCTTCCCCTGCACATCCCCAGGCATGTGTGCGCTGGAACAGAATGAGTGAACACTCTGAGGGCCCACGGTGGAGATCGTCTGAACCCAGACGACCCACTCAGTCCTGTCTCCTCCCAGGGTTCAGTACACGAGCCTCCCCCACACACTTCACCATCCCTTCCAGAAAGAGGAGCATCTCTGTCCCAAATGTCTCCCCAGGGATGCTCTGTTCCCTCCTCCCTTCCACAGAGCCCCAACTTCTTCAGCCCCCATCAGAATCCAAAACTAAGAGCCACCTATCCAGGAATGGACAGAAGGTAGAGAGATGGAGGGGTAGGTGGGTAACATGTATAAGAATAAAAATGCAGGTGACGTGCTCACCTCAGAACCACCCAGGGTGGCTCCCTGGGCAGAATGGAGCACCAGGAGGGAGAGGAGCACCACGGCAGGAAGGACCGGGATCTTCATGGCATCAAGTTTGGGGTGCTCTGAGGCGGGGCCTCAGTGCTTGCTCTTTATATTCCCAAGGAGGCAGATGAGCACAGAAATGGGGTCCCCACCCCACTGACTCATCCTCAGAGCCTGTCGCCCACCCCCGGGGCTCTGGGAGGGGGAGGCATGGACTGTTCCTCATTTGCCTTGGATTTCTCAATTCGCATTCTGCCCCAGGCACGTGGAAGGTGAGACTGCAATGGGTCTCTTCATGCAGATGGGGCTGGGACAGAGACAGGTTGGACCTGTCCCTCCGAGGGATTGGCAGTGGTACCCAAGCAACCTCTCCTTTTGTCTTTGTCTCTTTTCCTTATATCCCTATTCCTCTCTTAGAATTCAGGCTTTTTTTTTCCCCCCCTTTTTTTTTAAGACAGGCTCTCACTCGTTGCCCAGACTGGAGTAGAGTGAGGTGATCATGGCTCACTGCAGCCTTGACCTCCCAGGCTCAAGCAATCCTTCCACTTCAGCCTCCCTAGTAGCTGGGACTAGAGGCACGCATAACCTCACCCAGCTAATTTTTTTATTTTCTTGTAGAGATGTTGGAGCTTTTTTTAAATTTTCTTGTAGAGATGAAGATGTCTCGCCATGTTGCCCAAGCTGGCCTCAAACTCCTGGACTCAAGTGGTCCGCCTGCCTTGACCTCCCAAAGTGCTGGGATTACAGGTATCAGCCCGCGCTCCACACTAATTCAGGCCGTTTTTTCACCCTACCAAAATCTATGTAAACTCTTTAGCTTGGCAGTGAAGGCGGTCTATGCTCTGAACTCAACCCACCTTTATAACTTCTTCCATTACTCCCTTTGTACATACCTCACATTCTGACCAAACTGGACTCCTTACCAACTGTATCCTTCTTTTTTCCTCTTTCAAGAATCTAGCCATGCTGTCCCTTATTCCTAACATGGCCTTCTCTCATCTCCAGTTCTCAGAACCCAGCACTCTTCTTGGATGAAGCTTCCCAGATTTTTCCTGCCATGCCCAGTCCCTCTCTCCACACCTTTCCTTTCACAGAATTCCCATATTCATTCGTTTCTATGTCTCTGTATCTAAGTGTGTCTATTGTATCTAAGTAAGTCATGTTCTTGCCTTGTTTCCCTTTCAGAATATCAAGTTCCTTGAGGTCAGGAGCTGTATCTTGACCAGCTTTACATCCCCCTAGTACCACGGCTCACAAAGAACCCAGGTGGAGTCAGCATTAGTCAGACCGGATATGTTAGACTTAGTATTCAAGCATCCTTCTGCCACAGTGTACATTTTTCTTCCATGGGGCTGAACCTTTCCATTTTCCAACTGCCCATCTTTTACTCTTGGGTCTTCAGAGAAATGACTGTCTTGAGCTAAGACGACAAGGAACAGGGAAACAAAAACCAGGTCTTAGGGTGCCCAGTTGGAGATGGGATCCAGGTACCCTGAACTTGGAGTGCCCACTCCATGTCATTGCCCTAACCCACCTCGCCCCACCCCCCGTTTGGAAGTTGGATCACCTCACTGTGACACAACGTCCTAGTCAAGCAGCCTTCTCCACAGTGAAGTTCAGGTGGCCAAACCGGCTCCTGCTGTAACAGGGAGGGGCTGGGACATGGACCGGCGCTGCCAGGGCAAAGCAAGACCTTATCAACCCAACCTGATGCAATGCACCGTGGCGGCGGCCCTGGGTGGGAGGGCTGGACGGTGTCCATGAATAACCTTTACGAACCCCAGCAGCTGGGCACCTCGGCTCCATCCTCACGCTGCCCCCACACCCCAGTCCCAGACATCCTGCCCCTCTTCAGCCTCCTCTGATTTTATAACGGCAGCTTCCCCTTTGCAGAGCTACCTGAGGGAACACTGCTTGGAGAACACTCCCTTAGCCCAGATGGCCATGCAGTAGTAGATGTCACAGAGTTGGTGCTCCTGGAAGGGACGAGTTATAGAATGACTGAGGTGGGTGGAGCACCTCCCAAAAGGTTTTCTGGAGGACACAAGTTCTGTGTAATGAATCTTACTAATTAATGAACAGTGACTGAAAAAGCTCATTAGCCACCGTTCCATCCGCATAGGGTCAACTCCAGGAGTGAAGAATCAGACAAAAGAGAACTGATGTGTAATCAGCTATGATTTGACAGATGGGTGGGGGGACCCAGCGCCAGTTTTGGCCTAGGTGATCTAGAGCATCAAACAATCCAACGCCATCTTCTTTTTGGCTCTAGAGTCTAGTCTGTGATTGTCCTTTGACAATAAATTGCCCTTCCTATATTTTCCTCTCCACCTCATGGTACTGATAAGAATGTTAGCTGAGTTACTGAGGCTTACTATGTGGCAGACCTTGTACTAAGTGCTCCAAATACGTGATCTCATTCAAATGTCCCAGTGATTCTGACACAGGTGGGTACTATAATTACTCACATTCTATAGGCGGGGGAACCACAGCATATAGAGGTTAAATAACTCACCCCAGGTCACACAGCCAGAATGTGACAAGACCAGCATTAGAACGCTGGGCTTCCAGAGCCTGAACCTGTATCGCTCCTCTCTATGCTGGACAGGCTATGTTACAGCCCATGTAACACCCTGTGTGAATTAGACCTATGCCCTGAGAGTGGGGGGCAGACTGCATCAAACCCCCGCAGGTCCCCTTTACAGTGTCCTTTGTGATACATAGCCTGCACCATCAGACATGGCAGCTCCAAGCATAGGTGCATTCATTTAAATGAATCAAACTGCACGCTCTTGACAAAATGAAAACGAAGAACTAAGGTTAGTGGCATCAGCCCCCGAATGAACCTGAGATTGCCTCAGTTTCCAGATGCCTCCAGTAGTATAATCATCTTGCCACACCAAGTATGTGTTTACAGATAAGGTTCTGGTTCTGGCTCTAGTGTTCAACATTCTGGTGTTTAAAAATAGGTACTTTTTGTATCGTGCCTCTAAACACAGGCCAACTGCTTTGTGTGCTCAACCAAAGAAATTCTGTTCCTATGCTGGACAAAAAAGCTGTCTGTGTTGGACTCATGATTTGTTTCCACTTGGCACCTTCCTGGTAGATTTTCTGAGGGTAATTTTTTGGGGTTTTGTTTGTTTGTTTGTTTGTTTTTTGTTTTTGAGACAGAGTCTTGCTCTGTCACCTAGTCTGGAGTGCAGTGGTATGATCTCGGCTCACTGCAACCTCCACCTCTCAGGTTTAAGTGATTTCCTGTCTCAGTCTCCCGAGTAGCTGGGGTTATAGGCATGCACCACCACATCCAGTTAATTTTTGTATTTTTAGCAGAGATGGGGTTTCACCATGTTGGCCAGGATGGTCTCAAACTCCTAACCTCAAGTGATTTCCCTGCCTCGGCCTCCCAAAGTGCTGGGATCGCAGGAGTGAGCCACAGCGCCCAGCTAGTTCCATCCTGACATGATTTTTGCTGTGCCAGCTTTAGAAGCCAGTGTCTCTCTCCAGACTCCTCCAGCTTCCTCCATCTACGCTGCCTCAGTAGTTTGTGTCCCTGAGTTGGGTTGGGCAGATGGGGAAAGAGAGGGGCAGGGGGTTCTCCCTGGGAGAGGGTCCCAGCAGTTCAGGTGATGGGTGGCAGGAAAATCTGCCCGATATGCAGCTCAGCTTTGGATGAATCACGGAGGGTTAATGGAGTCAGACAGCCGCAGAGACTGGCTCTGCAACATCACATCTCCAGGTTGGCTTGACTTCCTAGCTCCCTCACTGAGAATACCAGTAAACCCCTGTTTTCCCACAGGCCTGCCCCCACCCCACCCCAAATCTGCCAGAACTTGAGTGTGGGTAGGAGGCGAGGCCCAGCCCCGATTGCCCCATTGTGAGACACACCTAGGGCCTGGCAGCCAGCCTTTTGGGTCTAGGGAGGGAGTGGGGATTCCAAGAGATAGACACTGGGTTTTCGGGGCCTTAGTGAACTCTAGGTGGAAAGCCAGGAATCCTGGGAGAGAAAGGGGGCTGGGGTGTGGAGTATTAGGGGGCAGAACTCAGGGCATCCCTGTCCCGTCCCTTCCTCCCTTCGTCAGTGTTGTCACACCCAAGAAAGCAGCCTCATCCACCAGCAGGTCCGGTTTCTTCCTTTGCCACCCACCCTATGTGCCCTGTGCTTAAACCTGTCCCGGGAAGTCTTCCCGGATTGGTCCCACTTAATTCCAATCCCTCTCTCCATTGGCTAATTTGTAAATATTTATTTTACTCTTGGTGCTGGGGACTGCAGATGGACAAAAGACCTGCCCTACGGAGTCCACATCCTAGCGAAGGAGACATCATAATGCAACAAAAAATAGACACACAAACAAGATTACTTCAGAGAAGGACAGGTGCTGCGAAGAAAACCGTATGATGCTGACAGCCATATGATGCTGACAGGGCTTCATTGGTCGATGGCCTGAGGGTCGGGTGCAGTGGCTCACACCTGTAGTCCCAGCACTTTAGGAGGCTGAGGCAGGAGGATCACTCGAGCCCAGGAATTCCAGACAAGCCTGGGCAACATGGCAAGACCCCATCTCTATTAAAATACAAATTTAAAAAGGTGGCCCAGGGAGAGAAATTTGAAATTAGTCCTAAAAGCAGATGAAGCTCCGGCTTTCTGAAGACCTTGGTAACAGCCGCCCTTGTTCCCTGATGGCCTGTGCCAGTAGGCCCAGAGGGACCTTAGAGAGGGAGGCCAGGCCCATTGCATAGAGCCGTGGTGAGGAATAGGGATTTTATTCCAGGGCTAATGAGAAGCTGGTGGTAGGTTCCGAGCACGGGCTCCTTCCGGGCGTTGTGGAAGAATGGGATCTAAGGAATAAGATGGAAGCTGCGGCTTCAGGAGGTCACTGGAGGATCCCTGAAAGGAGAAAGGGGTACCCACCCTTAGTTGGAGGGCCCCTTATGCCAGGGGATCTTAGCCTGCCTCGGGTGTCACTCTAAGCTTTCAAGAGCTGCTTTCAGCTCTTTGGGCCACGAGCACCCCACGAGCCAAGAACCGTGCTCACCCCGCGTCTCCCAGTGCCTCAGGGACTGGGCCGAGGAGACCTGAGCTCCCCGCGGGTTTCCACCCCCACCCACGCTCCGGGAAGCTCCCTGTGCAGCGAGGATGCAGCCTCCTCCTTGGGACAGCCCCGCGCTCTCCCCCTTGTGGCCTCCAGGAGGTACTGCAAGGCTCTCCTACGGCGTTGAACCCCGGAGGACAAGTACAAACCAGCGTCAGGATTTCAGGACCCAGGAGAGAAGAGAGGCCGAGCGGAAGAGAGGCCGAGCGGAAGAGAGGCCGAGCGGAAGAGAGGAGGCCGAGCGGAAGAGAGGCCGAGCGGAAGAGCGGCCGAGCCTTCTCCCAGGCAGGCGGACTGGGTCAGCTTGGTTTCCTGAAGTCAGTTTGGGGCCGGGTTTC